AAGTGTCTTTTTATGCCTTTAACTCAAAGATGAACACATTTCAAGGTGACCCAATCCTCAAGTGACAGACAGTGTTTTAAAAGGGCCAGAACTCTCCACTTAAACAATTTCTAGTGACATGTTTAAATCGCATCCTCCAGGGCTCTGTCGCTGTCTCATTTACCAGTCTTTCTCTCCTGGCAGAGGCATCCCATTTTCAATGAGTGCTTGAAGTTTGTCTTCCTTCCAAATAATTAAAGTCCACAGGGCTGAGATGCTTTAAAAAAATTTTTTTTTAACTTAGCAGGTACCAGAGGACTTTTAATTATTGAATTATACAACAAACTCAAATTGTTACTTTATTCATCAAAACAGTATCAGAAGAATAAAAAACAGCTTTATCATTTATGCTTACAAGCATAAGGTAAAAGATACAAAGGCAGAATAAAAGTAAGCATTCATAAAAGGAGGCTCCATTTAAAATCTAAAAATGTATAGAATCACCACATTGGCTCTGTATTTCATACAGAGAATATCGTTCTTTTTTTTCACTAAAATATTACTCTTACCCATTACAGTATAATGAGAAGACTGCACTACAAATCTGAAAATTGGGGCTTGGCGTAATGGAGCATACTTGTAATCCTAGGTACTCAAAAGACAGATATTGAGAGGAAAACAGTTTGAGTCCAGCCCAGGAAAAAAGTTGGGAAGACCCATCTCAACAAACAAGCTGGGCGTGGTGGTGCGTATCTGTCATCCCAGCTACAAGGAGACATAGACAGGAGGATAGCGATCCAAGGACATACCAGGGTTGAGGGGGAGGGGTGGAACACAAGACCCTATCAAAACAATTACTAAAGAAAAAAAAAAAAAAAAAGGATGTGGCTTGAGTAGTAGAGCACCTGCCTAGCAAGTAGAAGGCTCTGAGTTCAAACCCCAGTACCACCAAAAGAAGAAAACAAAAAGGAGAAAAGAAGAAAGGAAAGGAAGGAAAAGGGAAAGAGGAAGGGGAAAGGAGAAGATGAGGAGAGGGGAAGGAAAGAGAAGGGAAGGAAAAGGAAAATGACTAGGACAAGGAAAAGGAGATCTGAAAATTGGGTTCCTGTGTTTAATGAAACGCATCAGGCTGTTTTTGCTCAATGTCTTTGTAGACACTATTCCATCAGAAACACCCTTTTCAAAACCATCTCCCCTGGACTGCCTGTGAATTTATCTTTACCTGTCCACTACGTTCTGGTGTTCATCTTGTCATGGTGCATGATCTGCAACAGCGGAGTCCAGGTCAGGCTCCCTTGGTAACCATTACCATGAGCAGCAAGTACACATGCCAGAAGAGCACGCACTCCACATGATATTCTTATGTGGAGTACAAAAATAAGTTAAAAATGCACTCTGGTCCCCTTCCCCTTCTCTTTTTCTTTCTAAACTACTGTCATTAACCACTGGGGCAGAGATGGGGAGGAGTAAACGAGATAGGTATTTGGACCCACCCATTTGGATGGGCAACCCAATATCCAGAGTAGGGGATGCCCGCCCAAACAGGTACCTGTTTGGTGACGCAGGGGGTCACCAGAGTCCAGGCATGAGGAAAAAATCTGCACAAATGGTAGGCAGACATGGAGAGCTGCAGAAGCACAAGCGGGATATGGGGGGGGGTTGTCTCCATTGAGAGGCAGCCTGGCCCGGGGGGGGGGGGGGGCACATGACAACTACAAGGGTAATGGACATATCCCAAGGAAGCTGGAGCCTGCTGCAGGGAACTGGAGCACAGGCAAGATGGGGAAGGCGCCCTCATGGGAGAGCTGCTCAACTTAGGGGTCAAACCCTAAGAAAGTTGAGAAGAAACATTTACTGGGGGTCAGGGAAGTAGGGCCCCCCACATAGAGTCTTTCAACTATGAAAATATACCCTGTGCTGTAAGGAGGGCTGGAGGTATCAGTGTGGACCCTTACTTTCCACGTATAGTGAGATACAGATAGATAGATATAGAAGTGTACGTGTGTGCACAATGAAAGGGATTAGGAACAGAGACATTCTAGGCACCCATGAGCACACCCAGTGCTCAAATCTTGGATTCTAAATGTCATGAGGAAAAAATGCTCCTTGAAGAACAGGCTGACTCCTGCGCAGGGACAGCAAAATTATAAGATACACCAGAAATGCCTTGTTGAATCAGACAGTATAGAAATATTTTTTTAGATTATTGGAGGAAGAAGCATGTAGAAAAGAGAAACCGGCTTGAAGGGGCTACTGTTAGCAAAACCTGAAGAAGTAACAATTATAACTCATTTGGGCAAACTGGAAACCTCAAATACATACTAACACAAATAAGCAAACAAGTAAATTGAAAGTTTGCCAAGAATAGGAACACTTAAGTAGTTTCAAAGTACATATTAAATCCGCAAAGGTTAATAAGTAAGTTTATAGTAAAGATGCCTGACAGGCACCATTTTAATTGAATGATCAAAATATCAACAAATGAGACAAATCAAAATCATAAGCTATCAACAGATGCAATGAGAATACAGTAACATTCCTGTGGCATTCATACCAAAGACAAAGCTACAAGTTACGTCTAACCATGAAAAAATATGTCAATAGAAGCTGAGGAACATTCTATGAAATCACTGGCCTGTATGTTGCAAAAGTATAAAGACTCTGCAAGTTAATGAAAGACCGAGCAATTATTCTAGAACAGAAGTCTAAAGAGACATGACAACTAAAGGCAATGTGTGATTCTGAAATGAATCTTTCTGAAGTAAAGGACATTATTTGGGCAACTGGTAAATGTCAACCCTGTGGATTAGGCAGCAGTGAGGTGTCAAGGCTACTGTTCTCATTTTGACAACACAGTGGTGCAGCTACTGAGGAAAATTCCCCACGTGTAGACACACTAAAGTATCCAGGGGTGGTGGGCATGATGTCAGTCACCCATTTTCTTCAAATGGCTTCAAATGGTTCTCAGGGCCCTTCATCTATTAGGCAGGCACCCTACCACTTGAACCACACCACACTTCCAACCTGGGAAATTTTCTTTGTACTGCACTCAAAACTTTCCTAAAAGTTTGAGATATTTTTCAAAGTTTAAAAAACAAAAAGTATACCCAAAAAAATGTTTATGTTGGCTAATAGTCAAAACTTCATGAACGGATAAAAATCCCATCATAATAAATATTATAATTGAATAAAAATACTGTTTTCTTCCCTACTACATGGTAAATAAAATATTTCTCTACACAGAGTATTATAAGCACAAAGGCCTTTCTTTCTCATGTGTGCTCCAGAACCAGTCAGGAGTTGAGAAGTCTCAGAATGCTGGGCCCCATCTCCTAACACTGAAAGTAGAGGGTTCAATTCCTATTTGGAAAACCTCTCACACATGTCCAAATGTCATGCCAAAAGAACTTTGCTTTTGCAGGGTTTTATCATAACGATCAGGTTTAGTCTCACGAGAAATCTATTTAAAAAAAAAAGTCCACGAACTAACCTGAATGTGTAGCTCAGTGGTACAGCATTTGCCTAGCATGTGTAAGGTCTTGGGTTGGATCCCCAGTACCAGGGAAAAAACAGTTTATGAACTAGAAATATATATAGTACACTAAAACAAGTAACAATGACTGGATTCTATAATCTTTTTTTGTGCTAACTGTATTTTCTAGATAATACAAGACCCCGTTGGGGTGTGGGGGAAGAAAAAAGTTTAAAACTTTTAGGTTTGTGAATAATTATGATATATCCAATGTGCATAGTTACATCCCTGGAAACAACAGGGTAAGGTCAACACCCCAACTGTATTCCCTACCAGCCATCTTCAATGATCCTCCAATCTAGGGTATACTCATTTATTGCTAAAGTTTGTGTTCCAGAGATAAAACTCCAGTTTAAAATATAATTTGCTAGAGGGAGTTACCTAAAATGGATCGTTATGTGTACACAGGATTTAGGACAGTTCAACTGTACTGCTTGTGGCTATGGGTGATTTTGTTCTTTGCTTCATGTGTTTGTTTCCTGTAATGCACATGTTAACTTAATAAAGGTTATTTTAAAAACCAAATAATAATAATAATAATAATAATAATAATTTGCTAGAGGGCAATGACCAAAATAGAATGACTTGGTGAGGAAACTGTCAAAACAAACTTTCTAACCATTCAGCAAAAATTCCAACAGCTCAAGTCTAGAGTGTTTAATTAGAACAGTCACATTTAAAGGGGAAAAAATAACAGTATGTGTTTCACATGACTGCTAGTTTTCTCAAAATTAGCCCCTAAAACCAGAATCTTCTGCACATTAATATAAACACTTACTGAATATTTAGGAGGGACCCACAATGGATCAAACATGTAGCCTCTCACTTAATCCCCAAACCACCTTATGCGGGAAGCACCTGTGTAATAACTATTTTCCTGCTGAAGGTCACCACAGAGTGCGCAAGGACCTTGTCCCAAATTACAGAGCTATGAAGTTAAAGATTCAGGACATAAAGACAAACGTAATTCTGAAGCCGTTAACTTTGGGCTATGTCGTAGTTTTGCTACGTCTTAACTAAAAATTCTTACATTTGAGAAATCTGAAGGTTCCTTACCAGTAATATCTGAACTACTAACAAGATGAAAAATGATCTAAAAATCACACAGAATCTGCAATGTTACACTTTTTGCACAGAGCCACAACTTGTCCAGCAGCACGGCCACTTTGGGGACATAGTTGGGTTACAAGTATCTACGGAAATCCAGCCTTAAATGGCACAAGTATGTTATTAACGGGGGAGGGAAGGTTTTTAGCCAGTTTTGCCTCGGGTTTTGTGGTGTTTGCAACCAGAGATCGAGAAAGTGAGCGCACAGAAGCAAGCAAGCAATGAAGCTGGCTGCGCCTTCCGCCTCTCGAGAGGAGTTAGCGCGCGCCACGGGGAAGCCCCAGCTCCGGCCTGCCTCAGGGTCTTTCGCGAGCCCGGGACCCGCAGCCCAGCACGCGGTGGGGACACGGGACAGAAAGGGAGGACGACCGCGAGCCCTTACCGAACTCGGTACCCGGATTGTGCGCGGCCATGGCGCGTCAGGACTTCCTCCTTCCGGCCGCGCGCGCCGCGCTCGCCCCGCCCCCCGCCGGGGCCACTCCGCCACGCCCCTGACACGCCGCGCTAGCCACGCCCCTCCCTCGCCCCTCCCGCCACTGAGTCCCTGGCGGTTTCCACGTAGCCCGGACCTCTAGGGGATGTGCTGCCAACTTCTCCCCATTCAAGGTGCGGCACTGGAGTTCTACTAGCGCCCGAAAGTAACGCGCCAAAGCCGTTTAAAAATGCTTACATTAAGCCGGGCGCTGTGCAACACATTTGTAATCCCTGCTGGAGGTAGGAGTATGGGGTCCAGGTCAGTCTGGGCAAATACATGACCATATGGGAAAAATAACCAAAGCAGAAAGGGCTCTTGGCATGGCTCCAGTGGTATGAGCACAACTGCAGGATCGAGCTCAAACCTTAGAACCGCCAAAAAAAATTTTTTTTAAGTAAAGGACATTTGTCTTTAAAGTATTAAGGATTTCTTTTTAAGTAAATGCCTTTAAAGGATTAAGGATGTTTTATTCACATGTATTTTGCATGCCACTCCTGTTTATGGATTTTTTAATATGAAGTTGCTAGGTAAATTGTTTTCCCACCCACATTCCTCTACCACTAAAATGAAAACTCTGGAATGTGTAATACATTTATCTTAAAACTTCTAAGAAATCTACCTGCTTTGGAGATAGAATTAATCTACATTTTAAGTTCCACAGGGTCTAGAAGGGTAATTGACACACACTAGGCTATGAATATTTGCAGTGAAGGAATTTAGATTGCACTGTATATAAAAAAAATCTAGGGTGTGTGTGTGTGTGTGTGTGTGTGTGCAGGTATAATCTATCCTTTTATCCAGTCCAATTTCATTTGATACAGTATCAATTCTATGGTTTTGGTAAAATAAGAAAAATAGCGTATATATTGACTCTTTCATGAAGCTAAATTTATTCCAAGTGAAAACGTTCTTTATTCTGAGACTGTATATATTGACTCACGAAGATAGATTTATTCCATTTAAAAAAAAAGTCCTTCATCCTGAGACTGATGTTAACCACCAATTTGGATTTTTTTAAATGTTCTTTCTTTGATGAAGATGATGCTAATTTTTTTCTATTTTAATAGGCACACTTGGCAAGAAAAGACCATTCTAACTTGCCTTTCTTCTTTTTAAAAAGATCTGTTGGCCATGAAATCCTAAAGTCTAAGAATTATTGACAGACTATATAATGCTAGCAATATTAGGTGCTTCCTATGAGTTAATCATTTTATATTATTTGATATTTCAAAAAATAAATTTAGGAGATATTTCTTCTAATAGTCTATGGGTGAAAACTGTTATCTTCTTGTACAGGTAAAGAAGCTGAGGCTTAGAGAGATTGGTCTGTAAGTGCAAAAGAATAGCTTAAATCTCAGGCAGTCAAACTTATTAGCCATTTAACCTTTCTAAAATTCAGATTTCCCACATATAAAGAGTGGATATTACCAACTCATTGGGTTACTGGAAAATATGGAATAGTAAAAGATAATTTAACACAAACTGACATAAGGTACATCCTATTACTTCCAAACTCATCCTTAAACTAAAATCAATCATTTTCTCCTCAACCAAGCTCCTTTCTACCACTGAAGTGATTCCCCCTAAGAAGTATTATGAGATCAGCTATCACTTAGATGCAAACTTAGGCTGTTTCTAGATAAACCTGTTACAGGAATTTTATTGGTCTTAAGTGTTTAGGTGACACTGTCATACTGATAAATGTGCATTCCTATAGAGAGCAAACAAAAGCTAAGTCTCTGAGAGTGTAGTTTTTGTTCAGGTAACCCCTTACTGTGAGACACCAACACACAAGGTATTTTATATGGTAATGCAAAAGGAATCACTTTTTGTTTTAAAATATTAATCTCCCAGGTGCCAAAACATAAGCAAGGGACCTACTAGAGAAATACTTCTTCTTGGTGTATCCTATAGTTTGAATATATCCTCTCCAAAATGCTAGTCTTACCAATGTGACAGTAGTAAAATGTTTTCATTAAGAGGTGATTAGACCATGAGGGCTCCTGCCTTGAGAATGGAATTAAGGCCCCTATAAAAAAGGTTAAGTGATCTTGTTCTTCCCCCCTTCAACCATGTGATGACACTGTTCCTCTCCTCTGGAGGATGCAGCCCTTATCCAGAAAACCAATTCCATCTTGGACTTAGCCTCCACAACGTGAGAAAACAAGTTTGTTATTTGTAATGACCCACCCTCGGGTATTTTGTTACAGCAGGACAATCTCCATTCTTGATGTCTCTTTTTGTTGCTGTCTTCTGAAAAATTACATTAATTTTTTTCAACCTTGGTCTCAAAGAAGAAAAGGTGACTAAAACTTCCACTGAACCTGAACAACTAAAAAGATAACCTATCAGTTATTACACAACATGGAACATCTTTACTAATTTGTAACTGTTAAAAAAATGTATAACCTTGTTTACTGGCATGAAATATGCTCCAAAGAATTGACTGACTACATCCCATCCTGGTTTCCTGGAAGAAATCTCTGGAGGACACTAAAACTAAAAATGATTCCCAGGAAAGTAAATTATGAAAATTAGCCAGTAAGTTAGGATACCATGACTTATTGGACAGTATATCCTAGAGGAGGCCACAGAGGGAGAATGGAACTGGAAGCACCATGGACAGAGATTATCAGATGAGCTGCACTAGGCCCGTCCTGAGGGCCAAAGTCTCTCATCAGCAGAAGCCATACATGGGTCACTGGACAGGCAAGGGCTATGAGTTCCTGTCCATTCAACTCTTCAGTGGAGTTGATGGTGTGCCACATGCATGTGGAACAATTAGAAAACAGTCATTCTGGTCTGATCTGATTTGGTGTTAATGTGGTGATTTTTTTTTTTTTAAGCAACTATTGAGCACTTACAACATACCAGCCACCTTTCTAGGCAAAAAGAGTAAAATTGGTGAAGATGAAAACATACAAAGTAATTCCATCTGTGCTAGCACTAAATAGGGTAAAAGAGCAAGTGACAAGAGAAAGGATACTGAAGGACTTGAGAACTGAATCATAAAGGGTAGCTGTACAGTAGGTAAAAAGTAAACCAAGTGGCATAAAGAGCAAGTGAAAAGGGCTTGTGACAGAAATGAGACCACTGTGGCTAGTGCAGAGCAAGGAATAAAAACATCACAGAAAGCAGGAGCCAGGTAATAAAAATGCTGTGTAGTCAGAAAACTGTTACAGGTTTAAACAATTCACTCAAGTCTTAAAAGCATTAACCTTTCCCACTGTGTACAATGTGGGTGGGATGAGAGCCAGGTAGGGGTAAGAAGGAGCAGCTGGGAAAATACTACACCCATTTAAGTAAGAGGCAGCTTGGCCTAGGTTGGTCATGAAAACAAGGCAAAGGACAGACTCAAGAGAGCCCAGAGGACTTGCACATATACAAGACACAAGGATAAGAATGCACAATGGACTCTCAAGAATGGAGTCAGGGATCTTCGCATCTTTTAATTTGAACAAGCTTAAGGTACTGCCAGTTCCTGGAAAACAAATTGAGGGAGAAAAGAAATTTGGTTTGAAAAATTAAGGTTTGTGTTAGACAGGTTAAGTCTGAGATGCTTATTAAGTGGAGCATTCAACTATCACACTAAACTCTGAAGCTCAGAGTAGCAGGCTGGATACAATTTGGAAGGTATCAGAACACAGCCAGATGTATTGGCAAGAAAGAAAGAACTGACACATACAGGCATTAAAAAAAAAAAAAGAAAAAGAAAAAAACCAGCAGTACAGTTTCATGGAAACAGGAAACAAAATACTCCAAAAACAAGGTAGAGGACAACTATCAAATGCTGCTCAAGATTTAAGTCAAGAACAAAAAAGAAATATATAGGATTGAGATTCTGGTAAGAGCAAATTTAGGAGATACCTGAACATTTTGTTAAATTCTATTGTAGGATTCTATCATTACAAAGTGTAGTAGGCAAAACAACAGTCCTCCAAAAGTGACCATATCTTAATACCCCAAATATGGAAATACATTACTTTATATATCAAAGGGAACTTTGCAGCTATGATTAAGTTGATGACTAGGAAATAGGAAGACTGTCTTACATTTCCAGGTAGGCCCCATGTAATCACAAATGTCCATGTAAGTGAAACAGAACAGCAGGAGACTCATCAGTTTAGAGGATGCTCCAATGCTAGGGACCATTAGAAGATGCTACAGTGCTAGCGACCATGAGCCAAGGGATGAAGCTGGCTTCTAGAAGCTACAAAAGGCATGAAAATTGACTACCCCTAGAGCATCCAGAAGGAACACATGGATTTTATCCCAGCAAGACTTCTATGAGTTGTAGGACCCACTGACTATAAAATGTGTTGTCTCATGCCACAAATTTCCAGAAATTTGTTACAACAGCAAAAGGTAACCAATACACAAGGAGCTGTATCTGTACAGATCTTTACTTCATGACATCAAAGTAGAAGAAATTCCCTTTGTTCACTGATTTTATAAACACCAAGCAACTTCGGGTCCAATGTAGTGCATATAAATCTCTGCTTTATGTAGGATCAAGTCAAACTCTGGTAAGTCTGAGTAACTCTTGATACATTAATAATACTGCTACAAAGCAGAGAATCAGGCATGTAACAAGCAGACAAAAATACTGTGAGCCCTAGGTGCCTCATCAATCAGCTCTGCCTCTGACAGAACCCAGCTTACAAAGGCTGACAGTGCCTTCTTATGGCTATCACAAATCCTCACAAATAAACCCTAATCTTTGGTTAGTTTTTCATTTCTGGAAAAGTTATCAAAGGTTTTCAAAAGACCAATTAGGAAAGAAAAAGCAACTGGCAGATGTTATTGGTATGAAATTTCTAATTTAACATTCCCTCGGTATTTTAAAAAAGTAAATAAATTACCAGTCTAAAATTCAGTTGATCCAATTTATTAGATGGTTGGTAAAAAGGCTCTTTGAATATGACCCAAACTTAAAGGATGAAGTAAAGTA